TTGATTAACATTTAAACTTTATTAAAAAATTCTCTTTTTGTAATTAACATTTAAACTTTATTAAAAAATTCTCTTTTTATAATTAACATTTAAATGTTATTAAAATATTCTCTTTTTGTAATTAAATAGAACACAAATACATAAAGCCAGTTTTGAAAAAACCAATGCAATAACTTACAGCCTCAATTCAAGCTCAGTTTTATATTTATTTGTTCTGCCTCACTTCGCTCGGCATTGTTTTAAATGTTAAATATATCGATCGCACCACATTGTAGATTCAAGGTTTAATCAAGATTTTAAATACCTACATCTCTAGGAATAATGCCTTCTTCACTACCCTTGCAATTTTGATTAAAATGAATAATTATACGGACTCAGCACTATCTATATCGAACCATAACCAAGTACCATTTCAACCTATTAAATATACTGTACTTGGGAATAAAAATGATGAACTTGTTTTCGCTGTATTTCCTTTATAATTTGCTTGGGCAACTACAATTCTTAAAGTTTTATGGCTTAATACTGCTATAAACTGAAATAAGGAATTTGTAACTGGTTTGCATTTATAGATAAATTAAGGGTTCGTGTATTTGCTAACCTTCTTTTCAGTTTTGCTAAGTGTACGTTTGCAACAAAGAATAGTGGAAAGACAAAATTACTTTATAAATTTATTATAGATGTTATGAGTAATATATAGCAATTTATAAAATTTAAATACTATCTTAATTTTAATTCTAGCCCACAAAACGTCTAGTTTATAAAATTGAACAGTGATTCCACTTAGGAATGGCAAATATTTTAAACATAATCTTAAAAATTATGATTGTTGGATTTTTGTGTTTAAAAATGTTATGTTTTAGTTTATCGTGCCGTAATCATCTTGATAGCTGAATAATTCAGAAGTATATCACTAGAGCTGAATAGTTCTCTGGGTTATTGCTTTGGACATTCACTGAGAGTTCAAGTTCAATTAGGTGGTGGCAATCAAAATTTTTTTTCCGAGGTTGAACTTGCTTTCCGGGTCTCTCACCGCCAGCTTTTCTGCTGCAGAATGTTGTTGATTCGATTTTTGATTTATCCATAACAAATATCGTGCACGGTTGAACAAATAATCGGGCAAAAAACTTACTGTTTATCAAAATCCAAGAACTTAGAAAGAAATTAATGACAATGGCAATGGTTGGTTTGATGACAGCGAATTTGGGAAAGATAAATTATTTTGTATTGCTTCTAATTTTCAAGAAGTTCATTTCCAAGAACTTTAACGTTATTTATGAGCAATAATATTTTGCAAAGTAATTTATATACATGCATGCAAGCCTTGGACTTTCAATATTAATAAATATAGTACTGAATACAGTAGGAATACTTGACTGATAGGTAAATTAAGCATTTAAAATATAATAAATTAACGTCGATAAAAAAAAATTAACGTTAAAAAAAGAAATTAACATTTAATAATAAAATAATACGACAGAGTAAAACCCGCGCTGTGAATTAGTAAAATCCGCTACGTAGGTGAAATTCGCTTTTGCATAATAAAAAACATAGCTAAACGCGGATTTTACCTTACGTGATCTAGGTAGCGGATTTTACTAATTTACAACACGGGTTTCACCCTGTCCTAAATACATTTCTTATAATCTTTTACATGTAACAGTAGTATTTGTGACAAACTTAAATTTTAAAAAGAATACATTTTTTGCTGAAACTGAAATAAATAAATCAGATTTATTAGTTTCAGTTTCACCCAATTTTATCAACCGTTAATGTTTTAAACCTTTTTTTAAAACAATAAAAAAAGTATAGAAAACTATTTAAACCGCTTTCTTACCATCCCTAACTCCACTTAGTTCTAAGTAAACTATTGGCATCTATTTATTTAAATAATGTCACGGCTGATGCTGAATATTGGGACCTACTTTGATATAAAATTTTATAATTTTTTGGGGGTATATTTTTGGCTTTTTTGTAATAGTTAGACTAGAATTTAGGGTTAGAATTGTTAATAAAAGAGTATATGTGGGTTTTAGTAGGTATAATGGATCCAAATTAAGACCCCAAAATTCAGCATCAGCCGTGACAAATAATATATATTAATTATACTTAATATATTTAAATTATACTTCGTTACTCTTTTGAAAGATACATATTTCAATATAGTATAATGTAGGTGGTTTTTCTTTTTTAAAAGTAATTCCATTAAAGGATTTAAAAACCGCATTATTTGGCAAAAGCTGACTGATCGCATGTCCATCTTGTTTTATTTCCTCTTATGTTGAAAAATCTATTATCATCGCATAACTTTCCTTCAGGCACAGGATTTCGGGCACGTTGGGTAATACTATGAATAGAATTGTATGAATTTAAATTGTAAAGGCATAAAGAATTTTGAATAATATTATAATGTATACGAACCAGTATTGAACTAAAAGATCTAGACCTGATAAATTTTCATTTTCCAAATTATGATTATGGACACACATTCGTAAATGTTTATCCAAGGGAGTGTGATGAAAGTGTATTCCAGTAACTATTTCCAAATCAAGTAGATTATATTGGAGAGATTCGCTATTTCTTAGTGCGCAAGTAACTAACGGATAAGTTTTACATTTTTCGTATTTATCATAAATATCGTGAACGTTATGGAGACGGTTACTTGAAAAGTCCTTGCTAAGTTTTACTTCTAATTCTTTTAGACCGTTAAAAAAGTCCTTGCTAAGTTCTACTTCTAATTCTTTTAGACCATTAAAATCCTCAAAGTCAAATAAATTAAAGTCATTAGGAATGCCAATGATAGTCCATCCTATTTTCAAAGAATATTCTCGCACTTTATGATTTTTTCCAGACTTTCTGAATTGATGAATGAGAAGATTTGCAGAATGGAGATTTGCAGTGTTACTATCAGTTGTATATATGACCCGAACAGAAAAAGTACCTTTTTGTTTCTCGCTTATTATTGTAGCAAAAATTTGATAATCTTTAAGATTTTCTTTATATTCTCTGGTATATTTAACTCATGTAAACATGGCTTTTGATTCTGAAAAAATGTTAATTTACGTTGATCGATTTGGGCATAAAGAATATTTTTCCCTAAAGTATCGAGAACACGTCTACGGAGATCACCTTCTAGAATTTCAAAAATCGAAACAACATCTCTATATTCTACAATTCTCCATGTAGTGTAATCATCTAAAGATTTAACCCATTCATCAACGTTTTTGTGAGCCATTTTGGTATCACCGCCAATATACATAGATTTAGTTATAGATTCTTTATTATTTGTACCAATTTTTTCACTTTCAGTTTTATTACACTGTAAAGTTATATCAACATTTTCTACATTAACACCAACACCGCCACCTTTCATTGTTTCCGTTGTTTGCGTGTTAATTTCAACAAAATCGTCTCGAACTGTTTGAATTTTCCCTCCTAAAATTACTTCACGTGCCCAGAATTCACCGTATTCATTACAGACATTTTTAAGTTTTTTAAGTTTTTCAACAGGGTTAGAACAACTCAAGGCATCATCTACAGCCTTTTTAAATTCTTTGGACGGACGAACTTTATTAGTCATTATTACTTTCGCACGGCCTTGTAGTTTGACATCAAACGTCATGGAATTTTCATTATAATTGGTCCTTCCTTTCGATTTTTTATATGATATTTTAAAATCAGCAGATAATGATGTCCAGGGCAAGTTGGTAGAAACATTTAAATTAGCGATTAAATTTTTTTGGTATGTGATTTCATAATTATTATTTCGCGTAATATGTTCGTCTTTGTTGTAAATATCTGCAATCGGCTGAAACAGTTCAACCACATCATTTTGTCTAATAAATTCAAAAGCCTTTTTATTTTTATAAGGTTCAACAGGCCCATCATCAGACATTTTAATTCCATACTCTAATTTACACCGTTTTATAATTTCCGATTCATCAATGTACTCAAGATAATCATGAGATCGTTTAATCTTTATAATATTCCTGTCATGAAGTATATCACCTAATTTACGATGGTTTTCATCATATTTGCTTATTAAACCGCCTCTTAAGCCAACAAAAAGCATATTTTCATATAGACGTATACGTCCAATCGGATTTTGTTCATACAAGGCTAATAATTTAATTCGAAATTCTGAAAGGTACTGCTCTACATTTATTATTTGTGCATAACTATCATGTTTATCATGCTCGTCTATTTCTATTGTGACTTCCTTTTCAGTACTCTTAGTAGCAATGGGATTTCTAACCTTTTGTTCAATAAATTTTGCAAACATTTTTAATAGACCAAGATTTGATTCGAAAATGTACAAAAATTTACCAGCTTGTTCAATTGTGATTACACGACATGTGCGTTGTGTTGGGGTGTTCGATGCACTATGTAAATCAAGTCTATTATGTAGTCTTTATGAAGATTTTTGTGTAACATTTATAATAAACCACTGCGGCAATATTATAGTTTCGATAAATTTCAGTCTTTTTTATATTTTCGGATTATGAAAAAAAGCTCTCCATTTCATTAAAATATGTTATCCACTAAACTCTCATGCGAATTTTCTAAATAGATTAATATATAGAATATCAAGAAAATATATGGCAATTTTTCACGAAGAATTGCAAATTTCAAATTGTATCTCCTCGACATTCTACATATTAATCTATTTAGAAATTTCGCGTAAAAGCATAATGGATAGCAAATTTTAATAAAATAGAGTGCTTTTTTTAATAGTTTGAGAAATAATTAAAATTTTATCGAAATTATACTGTTGCCGCAGTATTTTTATTATTAACGTGAATGTAATAATTCATTATTTTTCAGGTTATGAAAAAAGCTCTCTATTTCATTAAAATTTTCTATCCATTATTCTTTTACGTGAAATTTCTAAATAGATTAATATGTAGAATGTCGAGGAGATACAATATGAAGTTTGCAATTTTTCGTGAAAAATAGCTGTATATTTTCTCGATATTCAATATATTAGCCTATTTAGAAAGTTCGCATTAGAGTTTAGTGGATAGTATATTTTAATGCAATAGAGAGCTTTTTTATAATCCGAAAATAATAAAAAGACTGCAGTAGTTTATTATAAATGTTATACAAAAATTTTCATAAAGACTACATAATAGACTTGATTTACATAGTGCATCGAACACCCCAGCGTTGTGTTGAATATAACAAGAATTGTACATTTCATTCAACACTATTCTTACAAATTAAATCTCCCATGAATATGAATGAAACAGAGAAAGAATTTGTGAGATATTTAAAGTTAGATCATGGACTCCAATATAAGGATGGAACCTTTATTCATACTAAGCCGTTAATTGATGAAGGTCGACTTAAAATAGAAGAATATACTAAAGTTCAAATCTATGAACCAACAGAAGAGAAGCAAACGTCAGCCTGGGATATAATTTCTAAAAGATTTCAAACCTCAGAATGCGAAAATTCTGAACACACTTCTGGCCATCTACCTCAAGAGTACCTTAAATTAATAATTCCCATACTCAAAATTACTTATGTCGGAAATCCACTCAATTCTTTTAAAACTTATGCGGAGAAATCAGATATAACTGAACTATGTCAACAATTCCTTGCAGAAACGGTTTTAGTGGGAGGCGGTTTAATTATCAAAAATGCGTCCAATATTGATAAATCAAAATTAGATATTTTAAAAGCACATATTATTTGGACTATTAATGAAATAAGTCGTAAGCATAAATACAAGAAGCCATTTGAAAAAAACTCTGTAAATTTTTTCGACTTATACGATTTGGATGATAATCCTCTTGATGAACAACAATTGGTAAATGAGCATTTTTTATTTTAAACCTAGAAGTTTATCCAAAACAGTATTTTAAATTTATACTTTTTATCATAATTTAGGATGATTATGTGAATCAACTATTTTCATATGAAAAATTCTCCGTGATTGCTTATGAAAAAGTCATTCCAGCTTTCACAAAACTTGATAAACAATTATTAGCTTCAGATAAAATACCTACGGAATGGTCAGCTAGTATTAGTACAAGGCTTGTTCCTGGAATTACAAGTTTTCATCACGAGCAAGACATAAATAGTTGGATGATAAATAATATAACCATAAATTTACCAAATTGGGTAGAAAAATATCATATGGAGAATGGTCTTTTAGTAACCCAGCACGGACTAACATACAGCAAGGAACAGGCTATAGAGTTTTTGTGTGAACCTGAATTTAACTTTAGTGAATCAACGTCATTGAAAATATTTCATATAGAAAATCAAATAGATCTATTAATGAGCATTAATAGAATAGACATTAATGAAAATGTCTTTCAAATTAATCCGTTCGTTTTACTAGACGTATTCGATACAAAAGTCGATACTATTGCGTGTAACATTATTCAAGAACAATTAAAAATTCAAATTCACACAGAAAAAAGTAAAATTAAAGCTTCAAATCAGTTTAAGAACGATATTGAAAAAGCATTAGGAAGTAAAAAACCATACACAGAATTAACAAATATTTTTAATAAATATGGTCATTATTTCTGCAAAAATTATACATTTGGTAAATGTCTAGAATCAATATGTTATTCTTATCACGAATTACCAAAAGAAGTGTTTATAAATTTTCAGCAATCCAAGGCACCAAAAGAACGGGACTACTTGATAGGAACATGGAAAAATTTTCAATCAGAATTTAATGTAAACGCATTTTCAGGTGATCGTTCTATTGTTAAACCTGGCAGCATTGAAAAATGGTTAAATGAAACTAATTATCCTGAAACCTGGTATGTTGTGAATCGATCCAAGTTAATACCAATATGGGAACTTCTTGATTCGAATATTCAAGAACAAATTAGCGAATTAACAAAAAACGAAGAGCGGGTTTTAATGACTGGAGAAGAAATAATAAAAAGTGAAATTAAATATCATAGAATCAAGTTTGACACACCTTTACGAAGCAACAAATATCAAATTATTGGATCTATTGCCACAGTCGATTACAAAAAAACAAATCTAACTGTTAAATTTCGACTGATGGATTATTACGGTTTTTTTGCTATTATCGAAGAACATAAAGATTTAAACGATGCAATTATTAGGTAAATTTATTTATATAACAAGAGTGAGCTGTACTTTTAAGCTTATTCATATTTATGCACTTATCATTTTATTTACAGTGAATTAAAAATTTGTTGGGCGTTGATTGGAGTTCCATTAAATCTTGATTACTTTAATTATAAGCTAAGCAATATTAAATTGGCTTCCGGCAACAAAGAAATTAAAATGAGTCAAAAGGATGTCTCTGAAACAGTTAATACAACTAAACCAATATCACAAAACTCAATTTTTGCAATCATATTTGAATTTCCATCCACAAACTTTGAACCTACAATTGATGTAAATATAAAATCCAGGTAATTAAACCATTTGTTTGTTTTATGTTTGGTTACCGTATATATTTAATTATAATAATTATTTTTATCCTAATTTTATAAAGTACATTACAGCAAGTCAACTTTACACTTATTAATCGTAAATTTGAAGATATTGAACCTTTATTGAAAAATAAACATGACTCAGTGCCTTTTGAGTATCGTTTAAAATGGTATATTCTTGATATACCAGAATACGAATGCTTAGAATATAAAAGCTTATTCTGGAATTCAGTTGGTCATGACATTAGTATCAAATCATTAAATAAATCATTGGAATATGAGGAAAATGAAAAATCACTCGTAGATTTAAATAAAGCATCAGAAATTGATCTAAATAATACATTAAGAAGTCGTGGAAAAACTTATCCAAAGATGAATAGGTATGAAGAATCATTAGGAATAGAACCAAATAATGGGTGAGTATAAAGAACATTTATTAATCAATGGAATTAAAAGCAAGTACGCATTTACCATTACATAATACCCTTCAAATCATTTCATTCGCATTTAGTCTGAGTATAAAGAACATTTATTATTCATCGGAATTAAAACAGTAAAGCAAGTTCACAAATCAAGAACATAATACTTATTTAATATTACGTAATACACTTCAAATCATTTCATTCGCATTAATCATTTATTCAGTGCGTGAGTATAAAGAACATTTATTAATCCTTGAAATTAAAAACAAGTTCACAAATCAAGAACATAATACTTATTTACCACTACGTAATATTCTGCAAATCATTTCATTCGCATTAACCATCCATTCAGTGAGTGAGTATAAAGAACATTTATTTGTCATTGGAATTAAGAATCAAGAATTTGAATACTTATTAGCATTACGCAATACCATTCAAATCATTTCACTCGCATTAATCATTCAGTGAGTAAGTATAGGGAGCATTTATTAATCATTGGTATTAAAAATAAGTTCACAAATCAAGAACATAATACCGTATAGCACTGCTTATAGTATCCCCGAAAATAATATCCTACCACATAAAGTACCCCGTTCTCCACCAATGAAATAACTGGATCTATGAATAGTACCCGGTACTAATCAATTTCAAAAGTCAAGGTTTTGAATAAGACCCGGGTACTATAAGCAGTGCTATACGGTACAGTACGTATTAACTACCATGAATACCCTTCAAATCATTTCATTCGCATTAATCATTTCATTTAGCGCGTGAGTATAATGAACATTTATTAATCATTGGAATTAAAAGTAAGTTCACAAATCAAGAACATAATAATTCAGTGCGTAAGTATAAAGAATCATTGGAATTAAAAACCAAAAACATAATACTTATTTACCATTATGTAATACCCTTCAAATCATTTCATTCGCATTAATTTAGTCTGTGAGTATGAAGAATATTTATTAATCATTAGAATTAAAAGCAAGTTCACAAATCAAGAACATAATACTTATTAATTATTACGTGATTCCCTTTAAATCATTTTATTCAGTGCGTGAGTATAAAGAACTATTGGAATTAAAAGCAAGTTCACAAATCAAGAACTTAGTTATTTA